CCTTCAAGTGAGGTATCTTTTTTAAAATTTCATTTCATTTTTTTTAATTATGAAGTTATAAGAGTACAAGAAATGACCAAATCTGGTGAGGAAGCCCATGGGAAATCACAGGGCTTTGCCTTATGAACTCCCACTAGCAAATATTATAGCCTCAATTTTTCATATGATTCTTTTCCATGGGTTTAATTTTTTTTTAAGTGAGAAACAGTCCAATAGTCCTCTGAGGGCTGGATCATTTTCTTCATTTTCCTTTTTCTCCTTTGTTTTCTTTCAAAATGATTAAAATGCTTTACAATTTTACATCAAAATGGTGAAACCTAACTTCTAGGGAACTTCAACAGTCTCCTTTTCAACCTGAAATTTTCTTATGGCTGGTAAGTATGGTCTTTTATTGAAAGAGGAAATGAGTCATACATTGAAATTTTTGGACTTAACTAGTGAAAATTCACAACAAGATTTATGTTGATATGTGATTGAAATTAAGATGTAATAGGTAGTACAGAAGCATATTTTCATGTCATCTCCCACAAAGGACAATAAAAATGACTTTCTGTTTTTTAGAAAATGTGTGTTGCCAACTGGAAAATAGCTGTCATTTCTATCCAGCTTGGATTTTGCAAATAATGATAATTAAATTAAATTTCATTTCGACTGTAAATTAAGCATTTAATTTATTATCAATGATATTTAATCAATTGGAGCATTCAATTAATCTTTTAAATTTTATTTATGTCAGGTTTCAAAAAATAGGATAATTAAAACCACCATATAAATTCTATTGTATATACTGTTATTCAAGAACCATTGAAAATAAAGTTGTGAATCCAAAGTTGAATTGCCTTATGTGGTATAACTTTCAGCAAGCCATTGCCCCTCAGACGGTGTACTATTTGATTTACCACCATGAACTTAGCCAGTCAGTCAGTCATTTAGATAGTTTTTTAGGGTGATTTTAGACAGTGGTGTCCCACTTAAGACCACTGTCCAATTTTAAACACTAGTGGCCAATCCGAGAGAGGGTTGTCCCATTTTAGAAACTAATGTCCAATTTTAGACGCAGGTGTCTGATTTTGGACACTAGGCTCCAATCACAGACCAATTTCCAATTTTAGACTGTAATGTTCCATTATAGAAACTGTTGCTTCTTTTCAATTTTTAAGACTTTAGTGTCTCATTCCCCATTTTAGACATTAGTGTCTAATTTTAGATCCCAGAGTCTGATTTTAGACACTAGTCTCCAATTGTAGACTCTTGTCTCCAATGTAAACATCACAGACCAATTTCCAATTTTAGACTGTAGTGTCCATTATAGAAACGTGCTTCTTTTCCATTTTGAAACATTAGTGTCCAATTTCTGATTTTAGACACAAGTGTTTGAT